TTCTGTGCCCTGGTTTGGGTTGAAGGAAGGTTTACATCGAAACAGATCTGAAAGACACTTGATCACCGGGACATTCTTTCTCCGAGCCCAGGAAGGGGAACTGGTCAGGGCAGCTTCTCCCAGGAGACGACTCTATGAGAACATCACACAGGTCTTTCCAATGTTACTGAGACCGCAGGAGCCTCTACTGAGGGCAATGCAGTGTTGAGCTGTTTGTTTTTAAGGACTGCCTGATCTTGCCAGCAGTTGCATATTTCTCGAGAAAGTCTTTGAACCAGGCTACTTGCGATCCTAGTTTTGCTGGGTTAAGGTGCCCAGGACTCTCCGTTGCCACGTGTACAGAAGCCCAAGGGAACCGAGTTCCTTTTTCAGCCACCACTGCCTTGTACGAAGCCAAAGAAAATGAAAGGACTCAAGTGTCACAGTGTCTACCTCAGGGTTGTTCTGTGGGGCACATGTGACATTCTGGGAGCGGTCCTGGGAAGATGTGACTCTGTGCCCTGTGCACTCTCCTGCTGACGCCCTTGGGGGTCTCACCTTCTGCACTGGCCTAGGGCTGCAGGACCTGGGCCCGCAAGCCAGGAAGCTTCCCAGAGAGGATGAGGTGCACCCCAGGGCTTGTGTCTCTCTGTCAGGTAAACTGCAGGGCCCAGGGAAGACTGGCTCGTGGGACTTCAGTGAGTGTGGGCAGGGGAGTCCATAACTGTTGGCATTTAAGGGTTCATCGGTGGGGAAGCTGGAGAAACTCCCCCACGATCAGGGCGGCCATGAGAGGTGTCGTCACCCCACAGCTCTTCCAGGGGCGAGAACGGCAGAGTTGGAGGAGAGGGTAGGGCAGAGAATAAATTTCATTTTACTGTAGAAATGGAAATTTGTGTCATGGCTTTAAAAATCTGGTTTTATGTGTGTGTTTAATGCCATTCATTTTAAATGTCGTATCATAAATCCTTGCTTCAGAATCAAAGCTGTTTAATTACATTTCACCCATGAATAGTTATCTAATGCCAATAGAGAAAGAGTTAAAAAGGAGAACTACAGAGTAAATCAAAGGTTGAGATCTTTTAGCACAAGCATAAAAAATCAATTTAAGATGAATTTTACTACTATAAAAATTCCTCAAATATCCTTTTGAGAGTGGGAAATGCTTAGAAACACGGCTCACATTTCAATTCCCTCAGCAGTGTGGAGGGAAGAACTACCCTCGTGGGCAGAGCCTTGGGGTCCCCGAGCTCACCCCATTTCGCTACGGGCATCGCTGAGGATGGAAGCAAGCCTACATTGCTTCCCCAAGGAACTCCATGTGCAGTGTGATGGCTGACCCCACAAATCCCGAAACCTAACCCTGACCTCGAGGCGCCTGCTTTTGCTGGCTACTCGACTGGTGTTCCAGCCCCTTCCCGTTCCATCCCCAGAACTCTGCAGGAGAGCTCGGCCAAGCTCCTGCTGTGCAAGGTGCCATCCCGGGGTGGCTTGGTCAGGGATCTTGTTTTCCCCGAGTGAGGGAGGGTGCCTATGGGAACAGCAGCCGTGCTTCCTTCCAGGCAGGCCTCCACTGGCAGCGGCAGGCTCTTTGCGCTGCTCTGGAGGGAGCTCGCGCTAACCCCTGGTGTGCGTTTCCTCTCCCTCCATGCAGCCTCCACCCCCGGGCATGTTACCTGTTTCTCCATCTTTCTTTTTAGATATCGTCAGTGCACTGTTTACTTGGTTAGTGAGGAGCAGAGCAAGAATAGACTGACTGACAGTGTGGCTCAGAAATCACATAATATTTAAGCTAAGCAGAAGTTCTTCCCCTTCCCAGAATCAGACCTCGCTCATTGGGAAAGAATCCAGGGCAGTGAGAAGACAGCACTTCCCTCCCCCAGGGAAACTCGGAGGAAGGCGTTCTGTCACCCTGATAGGCGGCCGTCCTGCCTGCAGAGTGAGCCAGGCATCCCCCGTGGCCTCTTTGTCACTGGGCCCCAACAAGGGTTTCCAGGCAGTAGCTAGGGCTGTGGAGGCAACAACCTGTTTACTCAGAGGACTGGGCTGAAAAGGGACCCTGTCTGCGTGAGATCTGGCTACGGCGGCCGCCTGGACAGAGACGCCTATGCCCACACATCGCCCTGACCCAGAGCCCTAGGTTCCAGCACAGGGTCGTTTTTTAGAGCCTGCTCAGGGTGTTCCATCGCTGCCCTGCTGTAGGTTGACATAGACGTTGTGCATCTGTAGTGCTCCAAGAGCAAGAAACCCCAACGTGCCCTTTTGCGGGTGTCCCTTCCCTCCCCTCCTCCCCCAACCACAGATGGCGGACAGCCCCACATGAAAATAACAAGATGGGTACGGCTTCGCACCCCTCCTCAGCTTCTCCCGTAGCCCCTGGGCTTGGCCATCGCCTCCGCACGTTTTGTAGATGTGACAGACACGGGCACAAGGCGGTGTGTGCCTCTGGCCATGTCTGCCTATCTTCCGGGGAAATGGAAACAACACCACAGGCATTTATTCAGACAGAAGCTCTAGAACGCCTTTGGACCCCAGGTTTGCCATGTTTAATTGTCTCTTATTAACATGTGACTACCCTGGGTGGAGTGCAAGAGAAGTTGTGTCCACTGGAGCTGTGCTTTCCTTTCTGAGTGGAAGTGCCAGGATATTTCTGCCCAGAGCACACTTCTGAGCTAACGCCATTTGTGTCATCCTCATCACAAACCCAGCACACGCAAGGCTATGTTTGTTCACTGGATGCATAAGCTACAGTTACCTTTCTTTCATTTCTGCTTTAACGGTATAAGAGAATAAAACTTTTTAACAGTGAGGAAGGTGTATGATTTCATTTTTTTGTTTTGTTTTGTGTTTTTGTTTTTTTTTTGAGTTGGAGTCTCACTCTGTCGCCCAGCCTGGAGTGCAGTGGCTGCTCCCGGCCACTGCAGCCTCGACCCGCTGGGCTCCGGCGATCCTTCTGCCTCAGCCTTCCAAGTAGCCGGAATTACAGGCATGCGCTACCACGCCCGGCTGATTTTTTTGATTTATTGTAGAGATGAGGTCTCGCTGCCCAGGCAGGTCTCGAACCCACGGGCTCAGGCAGTCCACCCACCTCAACCTCCCAAAGGCGCGGGATGACAGGCTGAGCTGCCGAGCCCGGCTATGATTTCATTTTTATCTCTTGCTTCCTTGTATGCTTTTGGCTTTATTCAGATTTGTACAAGTTTGATTTTTAGCTCACAGGAAAAGCAGAAACTCATCGCCCCAGAAACTGTTCGAGTTCTCCGTGTGAAGGTGGTGTCTTGAGAAGTCTTGACTAGGTGTCTTCTTCTTTTTCTAAGCCAGCCACAAACTGTGATTTGAAGTGACCGCTGATCTCCCTCGGTGAAGCCCCTGTCCGCGCAATGCCAGAGCAGGAGCTGAAAGTCTCCAGAGCTTCCAGCCCCTCTTCCATGTCCTTGCTGCTGTGACCCAGCTGGAGACAGCCACAGGGCCTTCTGGCCTCTAGTCAGGACCCTTCTGCTGCCCGTCACGCCTGTGGGGCCCCTGCCCATAGGACAAGGTGGCCCTTCCTGCCCTGACATGCACCGTCCTGCCCGCCTTTCTCTGATTGGAAACACCAGAAGCCATTAGTTCTTTGTGTCTCTGTTCATGCTGTCTTTTGTCCCTCTCCCTCCCTCCTTGGGATGGCTCCAGTGGATCCTCTGTGTGGGCTCGTTCAACCTGCAGTCCCTGCATTGTGCAGACACGGACAGTCCCGTGCTCCTGGCTACGTCTGCTGCACCTTTCACGGCTGGACTGCACTTCCAGGTGAATGCAGGTCTTCAGTGGAACCCCTGCAAGGGCAGTGAGTTTGTATTGAGGAAAAGCAGCCTGCAGGTTGAAGCACACGCCCAGCCTGTGCAGGACGCCTGGTGTGGTGTTGGCTGCGGGGTCCCAGAAGGAAGGGTCGAGGGGTCCAACAGGAGATGCTGGCATCTGCATTGCAGTGGTCTTCCACCTTTTCACAAAAGCCTCAGGAGCTGCACGGCCTGAAAAAGAGACTAGAAAACTTCTGCACACCAAGTCTGGGAAGATGCGTGGAAACGTGCCATTTGTCTAGGGCCTTGGAAGGTGGAGAAGGAAGAGAGTTGATGGAAGGAATCACACCTGGGGCCAGCGCCTTATAGGTGTGGGGTCCCAAGAAACAGAGATACAAATGGGATCTGCCCGGGCAGCCGGAGTGAACCTTCTTCTCCAAAGGGATGTTTTTTCAGGGGATGGAACACATCCCCAGAAAATCAACCTCTGTTGAAGATGAGAAATCAGCTCCTTGAAGGGGCCGCCAGATCCGGCTGACAGAAGAAAGAACAACCCATGTAGAAGCAACCATGAAACAATCTAAAGTGACTCTGAAACGTACAGGCTTAATCTTGAGATCAAAGAGAGAGTGGTGACCCAAAAAATGCCCAGAAAGCTTTGCGAAAGAACTGCATAGACATCCCAGGCATAAAAGTCATCATACTGTCGATGAAATGACAAACTCGAGGGATGACTTAAACGCAGATCAGACCCTCGGAGTGTGGGAATCCGGAGACAGAGAGCGAACTCTGAGGAACCCCCCGAACGCAGCACAAAGCAACGGAAGAGACGAGGATATGTCCTTGCAAGGCTGGATTTGGGGGCCGGGTGGAATGTGTGGTGCAGTCAAACCACTAATGATATTTCTGGAGAATATTTTTTATAATGAGGACTTGATGATTTAGCTGCACATGCGCTACCCGCGGGTCTTAGAACGGGGAGACACTCGCTTGGGTTGCTTCTCATGGTGCCTGCGCACTTTTAGAGCCCGTGTCCTGGGATGCTTCTGCACATGGGAAGGCCGGGAGGTGGAAAGGGAGTGCAGGGCTTCCCACACCTCCGGGCCCTGGCCACAGCAGTCTGCCTTTCTGCCCAGCTAGTCGAGGCAGCTGCGCGTGTCCACCCGTTTGGAGGCAGGGGGTGTTTGCCTTTCCATGTGTGGAGACGGCCCAGACGTTTATTAAGCCCTGTTACCACTTTTGCAGTGCCATGACAGCCTCCGCTCCCCCCGAGGCCCTCGGCGGTCCAGAGGGAACGACCGTGCCCCTGACGCAGTGCGCAGCCTGGCTGGATGCCTATTTCCACGAGCCCGAGGCCATCAAGGAGCTCCCTGTGCCAGCTCTTCACCACCCCATTTTCCAGCAAGGTTAGTAACGGAACCGCTGCATGGTGTTTCCTTGAGGGAGCTTGACTTATGAACTATCACTGACATCACATTTCACTTTATTGACTCCACCGGCTTGGTATTTTTACATCATCTAAACAGAGACGGCATGTGGCTGAGTGGGGAGGACAAGAGTTCGCAGCCTCCACCCTCTCCAAATGCTTGTGTTAGTTTTGGCACGTGGTTGCATAATTCTTGGCAAAGGCAGTGAAAATGATGCATGCAGATTGACTCTTGACTCTAGCCGGCTGAAAGGTTTAAATAGGAACACATCTGAATGGCAGTCAATTTTTCAATAAGCTTATTGTTAACTTAAACTATCTGCTTGCCAACAGCACGGAAAACAAGACTTGTACATGGACAATTAGCCACTTCCATAAACTCAGTGGCTGACACTTACATCATAGCAGGTAGCAGTGTTGTGTCTTCTTAGATAAGTTTTAAATTTAATTTCTCAAACATACCGTGGTTTAGATATATTCTTAAGAGGTGAACTGAGAACTTCTTGCCTAAATATAGCATGCCAAAGGTGCTTAAAGTCTGTGATAGCTTGAAAACATTTCCCCAGACACTTCTTTTAAAGCTTTTATTTGGATCTGCTCAATACAAAAATTAATTATAGCAACTAAAATCATTCCAGACACCCACCAACAATTTATTTTGCATGGTGATTTTTTTTCATAAATAATATAAATGAATGTAATTCATATGTGAAATGCACAGATGTGTATGTGTAGTTGTATACATATATATCTTTAAGGGGAAAAATTACCCTGGGATTTTAGGCATGGTGAATTTAAAGCAGTCTTGAATTTCCAAATGGGATTTGCTAGGTGAGTGTAATGGTATTCTAATTGTTGCTATGCTTTTCAGCAGAAATAAAGTTGAAAATGGAGTGAAGTTTTCAAGCAAAACAGGTAGATAAACCCTTGAAGGTTGGGCTAATACCTAAGTTCAGTAACGAGATCAGACAAGTGAACAGATGAAACTGAGCATTTTTTTTTTTTTTTTTGCATAATGAACTGGGTGCCCTTCTGTTCCCTGAATCATAGAGGACTGTCTTCAGAAGGGCTGGAGGCTCTCTGGGACAGGCAAGTGGGGAGCTGGAGCAGGTGGGCCTTTGCCAGACCCTACACACATCCAAGAAACCCCTCTTCATCCACATCCACCAGTGAGATGCTACCAGGGCACAGGCACTCCTAAAGCCTCCTGGGCCACCACCTGCTCTGATCCCAACATTTCCCCAGCACCATGAGTTGATGGGCTGAGTAGACGTGGATGACCCTACTTGTTGTATACCTCTAATGTGCCAAGCACGGGACAGAGATGGTGCTCTGTGGTCCCAGGAAGTCAGAGTTTGGTTTTGTTGTCAAAGGAGAGGCTTGGAAATCTTGGAGCAGGGAACTCTTCTGTCTGCTGTGTCCATGCCGGGGTTATTGCTCTGCTAGTAGTAACAGGTAGGAGTATGAGGATGAGCCTGTGAACTCCTAGAGTTTACCTAAGGTTTGTTGTGCAGCTTAAAAGCTTAGCGGCAAAAGTTGCAAGAAAATCATTCGTCTTCTGCAAACCAGACAATGATCACAGTCATGGAGGTGGCTCTGCCGGTCCCACCAGGATATAGCGAGTAACAGGCCCTCATGCAGGCCGGCACGAGTCGAAGAAAGAGGCCTCTGCAGGTGCTGAGAGAGGTCATGCAGGACAGGGAAGGCCAGCAAGGAGTGATCAGGTGGTCCCCAAACTGCCTCTGTGACTGCTGAGCCGTTCCAGAGCCTTTCACCCTCACTCCTGCCCACTGCAGTGTTTGCAGCTCCTGGAGCTGAGGACTGGCCCCTGGGACTCCGCAGTCATGTCACCTTGTGCATAAAGAGACTTGAAGTCAGCCACACCTACCCCTGGCTTGGGGCCCACGCCAAGCCAAGCTGCATCCTGGATGGCAGGTCATGGTCTTGGTGACCAGGAGGACTTCTCCGTAGCTACGAGGATATGGGTAAAGGGCATCCAGCTTCCCCGCGGCCCTGCCCCTCTGGGAAAGCACTGCAGTGTAGGTGGGTGCTTCCCACTGGGGTGAGGTCCCCTCCAGCAAGGTTTTGGGCCGGAGGGGGACAGCCTCTCAAATCTTTCTTTTCTGGTGTCCAAGAAACTCTGACCCTGGATGCAAACCCTTCTCCTGAGAGCTGGGGTTCCCGGGGCCAGGCCTGCCTGCTGACAGTTTGTGGTGGCTGCCGGGGCTGGGATTTCCCACGCTGCAGCATGTGCAAGCCAGGCTTTTTAAATTTAGCTCAGTCGTTTACTCCTGGGCAGGAACCAGGTGCATGGATTTTATGGGTTGAAGAATGGGAGATGCTGGATGGTTATACAGTTGCTAACACGGAGTTAATTGGTTCTACCCCCAGATGTGGTAATGCCAGTTTCTGACATTTAGTTGAGTTTGCTCTGTGTCCAGTTTGTGTCGTTTGATGCCAGTGAAATCAACAGTGAGGGGAAAGTCCGCTAGGGGGAGAGTCTTCTGATATCTCAGAGCCCTCTGGAAACTGTAGAGTGGTAGAAATCGATCTTTTTAGCAGACTGGGAGGAACAGGTCCATTTTAATATGGAATAAGTATTTCCTTGACTGATTCCATTTTCTGCCATTTTAATTTTTGTGTATGTGTAACACTTTTGCTTATCATTTTTTGTCAGTCTTGCCTCTGAGATTTAGACCAAGATAATCTGTTCCAACCTGTTTTTTTGACATGCGATCATAATTGAGGTCATCCTTGAATTCCAACGCGTTTACCTTTTCTTCCTGAAACCCTGACTTGTAAAACTTCTGACTCCAGAGTGCCAGGCCCTCATCCCTTCTTCAGGCTCCCAAGTGTCCTGTTCTGCTGTTGGAAGCCCCTCTCTTCTGCACGCCTGATCCCTTCGCAGGACCACCTCTCATTTTCAGGATTCCTCTATGAGAAGAACGTGCTGTTCTTGATTTGTTTGTTTTGTTAAGGCTAACCACAAAAATATACATTAAGTTGAACCATATGAAATTGCTATTTTGAGGTTGAAATTTATCAAACACTAGAAATCTCATATGGTTCAACTTCTTATCTTGGGGACTTTACAAAGATCCCTTAGTAACAAGTTAGCTGTGTGGGTATTTCTGCAAAAGGACAGCAAAGCCATCTTTCCCAGCTGCCCAGGATTCTGGAAGTCTACATAGTGGCCTTGTTGTTGGGCCAAGACAGGTAGGCATTCCTAGTGGGAACGGATGACTGCAGTTCTGGAAGGAGGCTTCATTGTTCTGCTGAAGGAATTAAAACGAAACCTGAGCTATTGAATTACTTGTATTCTAATTTCTCATTAGAATGTTATTTTAGTAGTTGGCCCTTTTTAAAAAGCGTATTCAAAGAGTTTTTCTTCTTGGTTTACTTTAGTGTTGTTTGTTTGTGAGCCTGGTTTATTAAAAGTGTCAACACAATCGTTTTGCTGTGACAAAGACCCAGCAGTCTTGTTGCCCAATGAAGTGTTTAAGGAGGTCACTTTCTCCCTATAAGCTCCTCAGAAAGGTCAACTTCGTATTTATTTCTCATTCATTTTTCTCCAAGAAATACACACACACACACACACACACACACCAACACACCCTGGCACCCAGGCTGGAGTGCAGAGGTAAGAAGATCACGGCTCACTGCAGCCTCAGACTCCTGGATTCAAGCAGTCTTCCTGCCTCAGCTTCCCAAAGTGTTGGGATTACAGGTGTGAGCCACTGCAGCCAGCCTCCCCAAGAAATATTTAATAAAGCCACTATTCTTGAAATAGATCTTTACTGTTTAGATACTATTGTTTCTTTCATAATGAAATATCATTTAAACTTTTCTAGTAATGCTTTCTAATTTCCTTCCATATAAAAATTTTAGCTTCTTGGTATAACATGCATCCTAGACTAGCCTTACAGGTCAATAGCAAAAACAGTTAGAATAAGAAATTTAGTCATTTGCCAAAAGCAATTTTTTACAATGAGTTCAGGAAAAGAGGACCTACAGAAAACTAAGATGGACTTTCAGATACAGAGACATGTTCTCCCATCTCTAAGGCCTCCTGCCGTGCTGGCCAGGTCTCAGGCAGCAGGGCCGCTGACCCTGGGCTGCTGAACTTGGACCTGTGTCTGGGCCTTTCTGTGCCTTCTGCCAGACTGGGGTAGGGCTTCAGGACAGGGCTGGGCTCTGCTGGGACTGCCCACATGAGGCCATGAGAACAGTGGACCCAGATGGATTCCTGGGCCTTCTCACAGATGATGGCTTTCGACGGAAGAGCTCTGAGTTTTCTTTTTAAAGTGACTGCAATGTTCCCTTTTAAATGAAATATTTAACACTTTAATAATTCCTTCGTCACAGCTATTAGCTTGTAGCTATGAAATCCAGTTGCATGACAGCAGTAAAATCTGCATTTTTTAAACCTGCTGGCTAGAAGTAAGTGTTTGTAACTTCTGTGACAGAGCCTCAGAAAGGATTTCTCTCTCGTATTTGTGTCTTTCTGTCGTTGAGCTCCTCATTCCAGAAGGGCCTCTAACAAAAGCCCTGCCAGAGAGTTACAGGAAAGGCTCTTCGGGAGGAATTGATTTTCCCACTGCGTCCTGGAAGGCTGCCCCACTCTGCTTGTGCCTTCTGGTGAGGGCCTTGGGAGTCCTGGAAGGCGCAAGTCCTAGAGGATGTTGATGAGGGAGCCCAGCAACGTCATGACCCTGGGTGCTCACCTGAGTCGGCACTTTAACATTCCAAATCCCACTTGGAGCCATGCAGGGGCTGATTCTCCCAGCCCCTCCCCCAACCACCCCACCACCTTTCCAGGCCAGGAAGAGCCCACCCCTGACCAGCACCCATTCCTGCTGGACCAAGCAGGTCGTCTTCCCAGGAAAGAGCCACTAAGCCCTCTTCTTCCAAATGCCCTGGGGCCTCTTTTGGTCTTCTCAGAACGTGCCTTCTAAGCCACAACTCCGTCCTGTGTGTGTC